TCTCTCTCCTCTCTCCTCCCTCTCTCTCACCCCCCTACCCCCCACCCCCTTCCACCAAAACAAGGACACACAGCAAACGACAAAGAGGAAAGAGAACGAAATAGAAGAGGCATGAACACATCTCGACCAGCCTTGATATATTTCAGGGGGGGAGGGGGTTCCGAAACCTCCCAATGGAAAGAACCAACAAAGAGAACCCCACTCAAACCCCCCACCCCTAACCCTCCCAACCCCCCTAACCCACACTGGTGGCAACTGACGGTAATTTGAGAATTCCGAAGCCTTGTAAGAAAGGAGCCTTGTAAGAAAGCCTTGTAAGCAGCAACAAGGTGATTAACCCCACATGCTATATCCAGTTTGCCTGTTTCAAGGGGTTTCCGAAACCTCGTAATGAGACGCATCGACAAGCAGGGCCAAAACCCCCTCCCTTTCCCCCCCATTCCCCCCCTCCTCCCTTCCCCTTCTCCCCCTCCCCCCCTTTCACTTCTCCACTGAAGCCAGCATGATTATCTTAGAGGGTACCGAAGCCTTCGAATACGAATAGCAACAAGGATAGAACACCCCTCCACCCCCCCCCCACCCCCACCCCCCACCCCCTCCTCACCCCCCAACCCTGGAGGCAACTTGGGGTAATATAGTGTTAAACAGCGCAATGTTTTTAAACAAATCTCCATATTGATGAGACGGCTCACTGGGCCTTGTAATGCGCTCAGGTGAGGAGACAGTGAGTGAGTGAGTAAACCAGGGCATGAGGGAGAATTGGTGAGTTAGTGAGTGAATGAGTCAAATAGTGAGTGGATGAGTTATTTAATGAATCAATAAATAGGTCAGTGAATGGATCAATGACTGAATCAAGGATTGGGTCAATTGATGAGTCAGTGAATGTGGTAATGAGTGGGTCAGTACATTGACTCATTCATTACTAATTCACTGGCCTATGAATCGATCAATGAATTAATCGATGAATGAATGAATTTATCAATCAATGAGTCAGTGAGGGAGTAAGTGAATCAATGAGTAAGTGAGTAAGTAAGAAAGAGATAACCAAGCTAGTAAATAAGTGAATCAGTGAATGAATTAGTGAATGAATCAGTGAATTAGTAATGAATGAATGAGTCAGACAAGAAGTCAAACACACAGACACACACACAGTCAAAGAAACAGAAGTACACAGACAGAAAAAAACCTGTCTACCGTATGTAGCTTCCGGGGATCAACAGCCCCGCGGCCCGGTCTCCAACCAGGAGAGCCAGATAACAGGCAGACAGTTACAGCCAGTCTGTGACTTCCACAGTGTCATATTAACAGCCCAGGTTAGTGATTCAATCTTCACCTCCTTCTCTCCTTCCCCTTTTCCTTTGAATTCTTCTCTTCCATCTCCCTCCCCCTCTTTCGTTGCTGTTCCTATTATCTCTCTTTTTAATTACCCACTTCTCAGTCTTACGTTCCCTTCTCCTATTAATTTCTCCATCTCCCCATTATCCCTCATGCCTTCTTCTATCTTTGCCTCTTCTATTCCCCTTTTCCCCATCTGACCCATCTCTTCCTCTTCCCTTTCCATATGTTCCTTCTAAGACACAGCTTTTACACACACATACACCCTCTGTCAGAATAATATATGTAAATACAATAACTATTGTTGTAAGGGACTTCGCATTCCTCGAGTTCTTCCAAGATAAAGTCAATTCTATTTTCTTGTAAGTCTTTTTAAATCAAATCAAAGTTATTTTTAGCTTCCTTGAAGTTTTCCCAAATGAAAACATTAAAAAAGACGGATTTTAGCCAATTTTATAAAAGGTTTTCAATATTCCCGTGTTTATTTACTACGGTTTCCCGGTTGTAGAAACTGGTCGATTGTAAACTTGTAGATATGGTCGATTGTAAAGTGGTAGGTGATTGTAAACTGGTAGATAAGGTCGAGTGTAGGAAGAGAGATATAGTAGAGCAGACTCACAGAGCTGGTCGAATCTAGGTAGGTACAGCAGGTCGAGCAACTGATAAGGCTGGTCGAGTGTAAACAGGTAGACATGGTCTAGTGAAGACAGGTAAATATGGTCGAAGCGGAGACTGGTAGAACTGGTCGAATGTAGAGAAATTCAGCAGTGACGTTTTGCAGTTACGGGTGAACATTTGGAGAAATTTACGGTGACATTTGGGTGAAATACTGAGCTATACGGTGCGACGGTGACTTTGGGGTGGTAGAGGATTACCTACAGTGAACTATGAGATGCAGTGACTTTAGAAACGAAGCTCAGTCAATTCATTTTTTTATTTATTTATTAATATACTTAGGTTTATTTATATTCACGGAGCCCTACTGATTGGTGATTAATGTTAATTAATCCTTGAATGAATTAGTCAACTTCAATTAGTCATGAATTCTGTAAACACTTATTGGCTACAGAAGTACAGAGCTCTTGTGTGAAGAGTTGCATAGTGTGTGTCAAGAGCTATCTGCCTGATGTTAAAAAGAGTTCCCATATGGTCAGCAGCTTCCACTGGCAAACTTGGGATGTATAGTGAGGATATCCACACTCAACACCAGACTGGATTAAAACATTGCACAGCTCTAGATATTTTATGCTGCCGGGTGTGTGTGTGAAAGATCTAATGCCTGGACGTTCAACAACATGTGGGTGGAACTGGAACTTTCACATCAGTTCCTGCTTACAGAGTTTGCACCTGGAGTGCTCAGGGCTGGGAGATCCGCCACCTGTAGCCACCTGCCACAGGTAACGGTAACCCAACCTGATCCTGATTGGGTTACCAGGTAAATTAGGTAAATATCTTATTTTTTATATTAGTGCTTTTTTAAATCTCAATGAGTCTAATTTGCCTGTCTTATCAGACATGAATGTTTGGAACAATATAGTCTTGACAACAGAGATGGCGATACCTGGGGGTCTATTTCAACCTCATCTTTGTTACACGATAATTTGGCTACAGTGGCTGTGTCATGATGGGTTATATTTATGTACTCACCTAGTTGTGCAATGTGCAATGGTATCCATACTAAAGAGAGTCTAAACCCTTTAATCTGTGCAGCAAACAGGTTATTTATAATTGATATTCATAATTATATGTTGTCTATCTCGGAGAGGACGTTTGCAAGTGCTTGAAGAGCAGTAAACTTTGAATCACAGGAAGTTAATCCTTCTCCTGTTTTTTTTTCAGTCCTGGTAGCTTATTTCAGCTCAGTTTCTGTGTAGAACTGAGCCAGTTGTTCAACTTCACACTGATAGTTGTGAAGTATTATTTCCATAAAGCTGACAGGCTGCTGCAGTGCGTCCGGTTGGAAATTGGGCCGAGCCATCGGTGTCGACACAATGCTCATGGTTTTGATAGACGAGGGAATTGTTTGATGTCTGACTGCTTGCAGAACGGCAGAATGTCTCATTCTTGGTGATGGGTCTGTATGATTCTTGAATGATGGGGTGCGGGTAAATAGGGAGATCAGTCCCTAGCATCAGAGATTGTTAACATTTTTATTTAAAGAATTCTTATCATAGGCTTATGTGTTAGCAAGATTTTTTGGTGTAGTTAGGAAACAAAAATGTCTTTGAGAAATAATGGATAAATGGTGTCTGAGAGGATGCAAAAGTGTTTGAAAACTCTATGGTATCTAATGCCCAACCACTTGGGCAGGATATTTGAGCGACGGTCATGCGTCATGCAGGTCGGTATTTAATCCCTGACGGTCCAAGTGGTTGGGCACCATTCCTTTCCCCCGTCCCATCCCAAATCCTCATCCCGACTCCTTCTAAGTGATATAATGTCGTAATAGATTGTCGTTTTCACTAATAAATCCCTCCCATCGCTCTCTCTCTCTCTATGATGTCTACACCGAGCATTTCACTTTCTCATGATCGAAAACATTTGAAAGTCTACGGGGCCGACATCGAACATTTCACTTTGTCTTGATCGAGAACATTTGAAAGTCTACGGGATCTACATCGAACATTTCATTTTATCAACACTGACGGTCGGTCTTAAATACGAGTCTAGGGAGCAACATCAGTAGACATCATCGGAGGTGAGGGAAGAATCTGAGTGCACGTCTAGAGTACACGCGAAGAACATCATTACGAACACATGTCTAGACAACACGCTAAGTTGAAGATGTGTGGAAGATGTGTGTGCAAGAGTTCTTACCAAGAGTACTCATCAAGAGCACATGGTAATGATTACATGTCAAATAGTACATGAAAATAATTCAAGTCACGAGTACACGACACCCGTACAATTCATGAGTACATTTCAAGAGTACTTGACAAGAGTACACGGGAAAAGTACTAGTCAACAGAACACAACAACACTACACGTCAGATTTCAATTCTGTGTTTCCTGAATATTGAGGCTAAAATGTTAAAATTTTCTAAATTGTTAGTTTTCCATTTAAGGAGGAGGGAAGGAAGGGGGTAGGGGGGATAGACTTATTCAGATCCCCAGAGGATAAATACTGATCTTTTCCAGAATGCGACCCACAACAGCTGTCTAACTCCCATGTTCTTATTAATTGTTAGAATGAATAGGTGCATCAGGTGAAAGGAAACACATCCACAATATCTTTGGCAAGCCACGGGAATCGAACCTGGTGCCTTGTGGACGATCGTTAAGGGTTTAGAATCAATTTCTATAAACTCCCTAAGAAAAAGAAAAATTTGAAACAAACAGAATCAAGGCTAATTGAATCAAATGCTAGGCAAGTGAAGAGGCAGGGTCCAAGAACTAAAGCTCGATTTGGAGATACAGCAAGGCAAGTACAGCAAGTTGGGTACATATTACAGAGGACAGCCATGAAAAGAACTATCAGGAGAAAGCGCCAAGCAATTACGACTATATATCACAGAGAACGGGTCAGGTTAAGGATTTGGGATGGGACGGAGGGAAAGGAATAGTGCCCAACAACTTGGACGGCCGGGGATTGAACGCCGACCTGCATGAAGTGAGACCATCGCTCTACCGTGCAGTCCAAGTGGTTGGACGAGGCAGCAAGGAGATCAGCGACAATCAGGAGAACAGCGACAATCAGGAGAACAGCGACAATCAGGAGAACAGCGACAATCAGGAGAACAGCGACAATCAGGAGAACAGCGACAATCAGGAGAACAGCGACAATCAGGAGAACAGCGACAATCAGGAGAACAGCGACAATCAGGAGAACAGCGACAATCAGGAGAACAGCGACAATCAGGAGAACAGCGACAATCAGGAGAACAGCGACAATCAGGAGAACAGCGACAATCAGGAGAACAGCGACAATCAGGAGAACAGCGACAATCAGGAGAACAGCGACAATCAGGAGAACAGCGACAATCAGGAGAACAGCGACAATCAGGAGAACAGCGACAATCAGGAGAACAGCGACAATCAGGAGAACAGCGACAATCAGGAGAACAGCGACAATCAGGAGAACAGCGACAATCAGGAGAACAGCGACAATCAGGAGAACAGCGACAATCAGGAGAACAGCGACAATCAGGAGAACAGCGACAATCAGGAGAACAGCGACAATCAGGAGAACAGCGACAATCAGGAGAACAGCGACAATCAGGAGAACAGCGACAATCAGGAGAACAGCGACAATCAGGAGAACATAAATCAGGAAATAAAACTCCAAGAGTACAGCAATTATCATTAATATTATTATTATTATTATTAATTAACAATTACACTATCGTGGAAATAAACAATTCATTCACTTGGGCACTAGGAGATTCGAACCGCCGACCCCACAGACGTGAGGGCGGAAGCCCTACCACCGTAGCACAAGACTAGTCACAATATGAAAAATTTCAGAGGCAACCAACCGCTACTCAACTGAAACTATATACCTTCCCATGATGGCTACTGAACACACAGAAGTTGGTGATCCACTCTAGTGTCAGATAGAGAGAGAGTGCCAGGCACAGAGTGCCAACTGGGCTCCCAGATTGACGGCACGGCTCCCGAGAATGGTGCTAAGCCGGTGCTAACGACCCGGACGAGGCTGTTAGCGGGAGTGACCCGGGAGACAAGAGGTCACACAAGATGTATACACAACCCAAAACAAACACGCAAACATTACATGTTTTGTACGTTCTCTCCATTTGCTATTCCGTAACAAAATGCTACGGTTTAGTCTAATCAGGAACGTACCAACCCAATCAACCCACTTAACATTTCCAGACCCCCATGCATGGAATTACGTCAATATTACGATGCTTGTGTTTTGACTTATACGTTGTATTCTTAACGGAATGGTCGCTTCAGTTGGAGATGCGCGGTGCTTGGGTGAGAGAGGGAGATGCACACACCTGGCTTAATTTGCCGGATGCTGCTAGACCCGGCCTCTCCCGGGGCCCTTGAGAGAGGAAGGGAGGGGGGGGGAGGTACTCCAGGCCTAGTTATACTGTGTGTGTGTGTGTGTGTGTGTGTGTGTGTGTGTGTGTGTGTGTGTGTGTGTGTGTGTGTGTGTGTGTGTGTGTGTGTGTGTGTGTGCTTACCTATCCGTGGCGCTGGGGAAGCTAGGTCTAGCTCCTTGTGCCCGGCCTACTAGCCTTGCGTTTTGTTGGGCTTAACAATTCTGACGTTCGAATTCTTTGTCGAATCTTGCTTTAAAGTTGTGGATGGAGGAGGCTTCCACAACTTCTCCCAGTACACTCTACTTGTTGACCTTCATTATAGGATATGTAAACATTCCCAACATTTCTTTGATGATTTATATACGTTTTCAGATTCCATCTGTGTTGTCTTGTCCTACTTTCCCTAAATTTAAACAGACTGTCCTTACCCATCCCGTCTATCCCCCTCAGAATCTTGTATATTGTGATCATATCTATTCTGATTCTCTCCTCCAGAAATGGTACAGTTTAATTTGCCTATCCTCATACCTTATCCCTCTTAGCTCTGCCAAAAATCGTCTTGCTAACCTCTGTATTTTTTTTCTATTAAAAAAATTACATCAACAACAGCTTTTGGTCAGATGAAAGTTCCACGCTGGGGCCCACATATTCAAGAGCGGCTCTCACCTTTGCTGTATATAGGGCTCCGGAAAGCCCCTTTGTCCACGTTTCAGAAGGATATATATCGCTGCCCGAAACGCTTTGCGTAATAGTGGCTTTAGGCATTGTATGTACTAGCTCTATCTATAAAGCCAACAAACTTTGTAAAATCTCTTTATGTATGTACCTTTACCTAAATAAAAATTATTATTATTATTATTATATACCCGAATGTTGACCTGTATGCCATATACAGTTGCTGTTATTCTGCTATTGTGGGCTTTTTGGCATCAGATTTCAGGTCATGTCCACTCCACAGGTCTTTCTCTTATTTTTATTGAGGAATTTGTCTTCCTATCATCTTATACTACTGTATTGGTCCTCGCACTCCTCTTCCAAGCCTCTTAACTTTGCATTTCGCTGGGTTAAATTCTGGCAGACATTTTCAGACCACTTCTGCATTGTGGTCTGAAAATGGGGGTTTATAAACAGACTCGGGCCTCACCAGGAAAGAATATTCCTTAGTCGTTATCTGATGACATAAATACTGAATGAAAAAATAATTAGGTCATATAATGAATCAACATGAATAATAATAATAATATGTTATATTATTGCTATTATCTATAATGATTATTTATATTTTCACATTATATTTCTAATTTCAAAACATGATTATATAGTAAATCACGCACTTATTTTCTATATTCACTTGAAACATTATTTAATTTAAAATACTCGAATTCAAATTATCTAATTATCTAGTCCTCTCCTGTTCATTCTGAAGTCATTTATGAAGACAGACAATCGTCTTTATAAAGCCTTCCTAATGGTCATTAGTCAGACGAGAACGGTGTTTGGCTTTTGTTCACATTCACGACAGAACATTTGTTCTTTTTAATGTTCACAAACGTAGTTAACGCCAACAAATGTTGAATGTCTTCATGACAGCTTAAATAAGATGTTTGAACTTTTAACTATCCACAGATTTGTAGAATTCTTGCAAACAGCTTCTCGGTTCTTATTTCTGGAATCTGTTGGACTTTGTGGTGGTGGTTGTGTAATCTGTTGAACTTGGTGGTGGTGGTTGAGTAATCTGTTGGACTTGGTGATGGTGGTTGACTAATCTGTTGGACTTTGTGGTGGTGGTTGTGTAATCTGTTGGACTTGGTGGTGGTGGTTGACTAATCTGTTGGACTTGGTGGCCACTTCGTTCTTGGTATCCATTTGATGACCTCATTTCTGGCGTTCACTATATACAAAAAATATGTTGACCTGTACTTACGGTTTTAATTATGCATAGGCCTACATGACGATGGTCACCAATTTAAATTTTGTTTATGATATAGTGTCCATAAACTCGATGACAATAATGTTATCAAATTGTTATATTCTCTCTCCTTCTCTCACTTTCTCACTCTCCCCCTTTTCCTTCTACTCCCTCTCCCTCTCTCCCTCTTTATGTCTTACTTTTTCGTTGAATTAATTAGGTTCCTTTTTGGTCATTATTCGTCTCGTTGATTTCTCCATTACCGTCTTTTCCTGTTCTTTTTCCTATTCTTCCTGTCTTCTCAATCTGTTGTTCTCGTTTTCTTTCTACCCTTCTCCTCTTTTTCCCGGTCTTCTTCTGTTTTCTTCCCACTGTCTTTGGCTTCCTTCTCATTCTCCTGTCTTACTCCCTGTCTCCCTCGTCCACCTGTCTTCCTCCTCCACCTGTCTTCCTCCTCCACCTGTCTTCCTCCTCCACCTGTCTTCCTCGTAAAGTCAAAATCGATCAATAAAGTTACGTTCATAAATGGCATAACGGATTTGGATTCAATAGTTGGAGAAGTCAGAGAACCTCGTTCGAGAGATTACATGAACAGCGAAATCTGGATCATAAAATATAATTGCAATAGACGTCCAGCAACCAGGAGGCCTGGTCGACGACCGGGCCGCAGGGACGCTAAGCCCCGGAAGCACCTCAAGGTAAGGTAACCAAGGGCCGTAATAGAGTCCACAGACCAAACGGAGAGGGATTGAGTCTATTAAAGAGGAACTTGCATGCAACGAACTCAAGAAAAAAAGGTGGTAGAGGTTCTTAAAAAAAAGAAATGGTAGAAAATATAAACCTCGTTATAATTCTAATATGCAAAAAACCACGATTTAACGAAGTAGGAATTCGCAGAGATGAACAGCCTCGATAATCAAGAAATTCGACGTGGGATATTATCTTCCTTGAAGACTTTGATCTACATAGATTAAGATGGAGAATACTAGTGATGCCATCTAAGGAGAGGAAACCTGGAAATGGCCAATCACAGGTCAGGGAAGTACTTAGAATTAACAATAAATTTTGGCTGAATCAACAGGTTACAGAAAACTAGGAACTAGGAACTAGATCAACTAGGAACGAAAACGTACTCCATCTTGATCTTCGCAAATAATGAAGAAATAATCAGGGGACATTCGTAGTTCGTAGGGTCTCGAACTACGAACTACGTAGTTCGACCCCATACACTGTAGACGGCCTCCTAGACTCTACGATGTGTGAGTTCGTAGGTACCCTATGTTGGGGTACCCCAGCATATGGGTTCACATATTCAAACAATAAAGAGTAGAGGGGAGGGGGGCATAGGTACAATCAGAGGGGGTATCGACGTCACAGGTTCCAGGCAATTGAAGGTCATCCAAGCAAGCATAAGAAATTTTGCCGGTTGCATAAGTCGACGCGATTAAGAAAAGCTTTGATACGTTGCTCTCTTTCCTCTACCACTTTCCGCTCTCTCTCCTCTCTCTCTCCCTCCCCCTCTCTCTCCTCTCTCTCCTCCCTCCCTCCCTCTCTCTCTCTCTCCCACTCTCCCCTCAGTAGCACCTTTATGACGCTCACCCGACATTCTTCCGCTGAGAAAGTATGCGGCGAGAGTATTATTAAAGTGACAGGTGAGTGAAGGTGAGAGAGGTGGGGGGGCCTTTCCCTTCACCTTCCCCCTGTCCCTTCACCTGCCCCTTTCCCTTCCCCCTTCACCTACTCTCCAACCTATCCTCAGACTGTGCTTGTCCAAGCTACTGCCAAGACAAAAGACGCATTCATAAATTCGTACTTAATATGCTGACCAAAATCGACATTTTTATATATATATATATATATATATATATATATATATATATATATATATATATATATATATATATATATATATATATATATAAAGCTGTGTGTGTATTTATATAAGGAAATATTTTCCTTATATAAATATATAAATATTTATATAAGGAAAAAATCGTATCAATATATATTATGAAAATATATAAATTTTCCTGTTTATGCCCCCTGCTTGGAGACCAGCCTGTGAGTGAGATCACCAAGATTGTGAGCTCAGGCTCACGGTCTCAGACCATCACGCCACAAACACCTCTTTTCACCGCTCTAAATCTACCACACTTGAGAAGGGAGCGTGAATAGGGGCATTGAGACGGTCGAGCTTCTGACATCTCAAAAGGAAAATATCCTTTCGCCAAGAGATACGTAAGAAAACAAAACAAAAAAAGATAAGACAAATTTTTTCAAGATTATGGACCCCGAAGATTTGTCGTGGTGTGTTGTGGAACACTGGGGAGGGGTTGTGGAACACTGGGGAGGGGTTGTGGTTGTTGTGGAACACTGGGGAGGGGTTGTGGTAGTTGTGGAACACTGGGGAGGGGTTGTGGTTGTTGTGGAACACTGGGGAGGGGTTGTGTTAGCTGTGGAACACTGGGGAGGGGTTGTGGTAGTTGTGGAACACTGGGGAGGGGTTGTGGTAGTTGTGGAACACTGGGGAGGGGTTGTGTTAGCTGTGGAACACTGGGGAGGGGTTGTGGTAGTTGTGGAACACTGGGGAGGGGTTGTGGTTGTTGTGGAACACTGGGGAGGGGTTGTGGTTGTTGTGGAACACTGGGGAGGGGTTGTGGAACACTGGGGAGGGGTTGTGGAACACTGGGGAGGGGTTGTGGTTGTTGTGGAACACTGGGGAGGGGTTGTGGTTGTTGTGGAACACTGGGGAGGGGTTGTGGTTGTTGTGGAACACTGGGGAGGGGTTGTGGTTGTTGTGGAACACTGGGGAGGGGTTGTGGTTGTTGTGGAACACTGGGGAGGGGTTGTGGTTGTTGTGGAACACTGGGGAGGGGTTGTGGAACACTGGGGAGGGGTTGTGGAACACTGGGGGAGGGGTTGTGGTTGTTGTGGAACACTGGGGAGGGGTTGTGGTTGTTGTGGAACACTGGGGAGGGGTTGTGGTTGTTGTGGAACACTGGGGAGGGGTTGTGGTTGTTGTGGAACACTGGGGAGGGGTTGTGGAACACTGGGGAGGGGTTGTGGAACACTGGGGAGGGGTTGTGGTTGTTGTGGAACACTGGGGAGGGGTTGTGGTTGTTGTGGAACACTGGGGAGGGGTTGTGGTTGTTGTGGAACACTGGGGAGGGGTTGTGGTTGTTGTGGAACACTGGGGAGGGGTTGTGGTTGTTGTGGAACACTGGGGAGGGGTTGTGGAACACTGGGGAGGGGTTGTGGAACACTGGGGGAGGGGTTGTGGTTGTTGTGGAACACTGGGGAGGGGTTGTGGTTGTTGTGGAACACTGGGGAGGGGTTGTGGTAGTTGTGGAACACTGGGGAGGGGTTGTGGTTGTTGTGGAACACTGGGGAGGGGTTGTGGAACACTGGGGAGGGGTTGTGGTTGTTGTGGAACACTGGGGAGGGGTTGTAGTAGTTGTGGAACACTGGGGAGGGGTTGTGGTTGTTGTGGAACACTGGGGAGGGGTTGTGGTTGTTGTGGAACACTGGGGAGGGGTTGTGGTAGTTGTGGAACACTGGGGAGGGGTTGTGGAACACTGGGGAGGGGTTGTGGTTGTTGTGGAACACTGGGGAGGGGTTGTGGTTGTTGTGGAGCACTGGGGAGGGGTTGTGGTTGTTGTGGAACATTGGGGAGGGGTTGTGGTTGTTGTGGAACACTGACGCTATTCCAGACACTCGTTTTTGTACGACACTGTTGGAAGCAGTTGTGATACATGGGAACGGAGACACAGGCGAGGGTGGGGTGGGGGGAGATACATATGAGGGGTAGTAGAGATGGGGAGATAATAAAGCGAGGGGAGGAGAGGTGAGGGGAACTAACCTACCCCTCGCACCAATCACTAACCGCCTTTATCGTCACCTGCCACCGTGTTGCTAAATTAGTTCAGTGAAAATTTTATCCACGTGCCTTTGACCTTTCTTGTCCCTGTGCGTGTGTCAACGCCAGTGGTCAACGCCAGTGGTCAATGCCAGTGGTCAATGCCAGTGGTCAACGCCAGTGGTCAACGCCAGTGGTCAATGCTTATTTTCATTAATTTCATTATCGTACTTGTCGTCCCCCCCCCCCTCTCACTATCCATGTGTGTTCACCTGGTGTGTGTTCTCACCTGGTGTGTGTTCACGTGTGTGTTCAACTGATGATCGTATCTTTCTTGCGTCTGTTGCTACCTTTGTCTGTTTATCTCTTGTCTGTGCTTCCTGTTGTCTCAAGAAACAGGGACATAAAACAGGAAGCAAAACCTATCCAACATCTTTTTTTTCATCAAATTGGCTCTAAAACTTGGTTTATTTGACCGATTTTGCATTATGTATCTTGACGATACATTATATTATAATGTATCGTCTGACTACCGGATACATATGTATTTCACTACAGGGTGTGGGCTAGAGCTGTGTGTGTGTGTGTGAGGACATAGTTGTCATTTGGTAAGGTGTTTACATTTGGACAATGTAAGTTGGTACCTGGTGAACCAACTTACTCTCTGGGGGTAATGTGAGAGTTGTAGTGGAGTTTAAGTGTGCCTTCCCTTTAAAACATTCCTAATTTAGGTTTCTAAAACGACGCTTTAATGTTTGCCAGTGTCCAATATGTTGCTGATGTTAACCTGTTTATGTGTGCCTCTGGTGTTGGAACTATTTCCTCTCCAATATTATTTTCTCTATCCAATTCCTCTTGTGGTGCATATACCTTGTGGTCTCTTTTCTTCCCCTTTCCCAACTTTATTACCTTACACTTGTTGAGACTGAATTCCTGCAACCATTTCTTTGACCACTCTTGGAGTTTGTCAAGATTCTCCTGTAACTTACTGCAGTCGTCCTCTGTTTTTACATGCCTCATTAGCGTTGCATCGCCTGCAACGTTGACATGTACGAGCTTAAGCCCTCGGGTACATCATTCACAGAAATTAGGAACAGTAGTAGTCCTAGAACTGAGCCTTGGGGGAAGGGGGGGGGGAGAAGCCCACTTGTTACAGTCATCTAACTGGAGACCTCCGACTGTGACACTGTGTCTTCTGTCCTGTAGTTACTACCTTGTCCAGTTCAGGGTATAATGCCCAGTTATCCCGCGTTGCCTCTCCAGCTTGTACACCAGCTTCCCGTCAGGAACTTTATCAAATGCTTTTTGACAGCCTGGAAAATACAGTTCTACCCAGATATATTTTTCCCGTCTTAATTTTGGCAACTTTGCCGTGGAACTTGATTACTCTCTCCAGCACTGTACGACGGATACCTGTCAGTAACATTGGACTGTAAATTGGTGTCTCCTGCCCGACTTTTTTCTTGAATATTGGGACTATGTTTGCCTTTTTTTCTCAACTTCTGATGGAGATTTCTTGTCTCAAGTATTTTATTGAAAACATCAGTTAGTGGGAGATGAAGCACCTGTGCAGCCTGCTTCATCAGCCACGGTGATATTAAATCTGACCATATTGTTTATGCTGAATCTTCTTCCTCCAGGTATTTTTAACATTTTTCCGCAGTGACTGCCATGTCATCCAGTGGTTCCTCCAGCCTTTCATCTCCTGTGTCAGTAAATCTTTCGTCGAGTTCCACACACCCCTCAGTGTTGTTTTCCATGTGCATTCCTCCTTCACTTTCAACGTTATTACATGATGTCTTATATGGCTACAGAACAGTTATGGTGTGTCCTTAGCTTCTGACACAATGTCAACTTGAACTCGCTTCTCGGCTTCCCTTCTGACTCGAGTATATTCATTTGTGGCGCTCGTTGGTCTTATCCCTTGTTTCTCAGCATTTCCTATCGAACCAGGAGTTTACCTTGCTGTTCTCATCCACCTCCTCCTCCTTGAGAGGGACGTACAGCTGCGTTACAGCTGCACATTTCTGAAGCTATAACTTCCAGTTCTCCCCCTAACCTGGACTTCACTAACTGTCGCCCTGAGGTTTGTAGTCTTTGTTCTTCTTCAGTGTTTCTTTGTCTAATCAGCTTCTTTAGCTCCATTGAGTGCTCAAGCAGGATCATGTAGTGGTGGCTACAGTCTTACACCTCACCATCTTCTCACCATCTGCCTCATTTTGGGCAAACTCGAAGTAATTGTTGCTGGTTGGTCACCTGCCCTTACTCCTGCTGGTTCTGTGATATGTCCTCCCTCTATGTCAAGCTGTGTCTGTGTCTGTGTCTGTCTGTGTCTGTCTGTGTCTGTCTCTCTCTCCCTCTCTCTCTCTCTCTCTCTCTCTGTCCTCCCTTCATTCACGAACTCTTTCCCAAAGTAGCTCTCTCTCTCTCTCTCTCTCTCACACACAATTAAAATCCTGTCCTCTCTATAATGCACCGACCGCCCTAGTACAGTCTTTTGTCTCCCATGGTGTTCCCCTCTCTGGCTTATCGCGAGTGAGGGGACGAGACAGGTGTTTCCCCTTCCCAAATGTCATCCTCCGAGGGCAGCTCACGGCTCCAGGCATCATTTGTTACCCAGGTAACTATACGCCATCTATAATTTTTTTTAGCTCCCCTCTGAGGGGTCCCCTCTGAGGGCTCCCCTCTGAAGGCTACTCTCGTCAGGTAATGAATGAAGTGCCAGATGGTTATGGGAGATCTTCCACAGT